AGATATTTCATCATTTTCATTTGTTTCCAGGAAATCTTTTAATTTCTGTTTTGATTTTGGTGTTGATCCAGTAATCAATCAGCATCATGCTGTTTAGTTTTCATGTCTTTGTGGACTTTTGGGAAATTTTATTGGTGTTGATATTTATTTTTATTCTACTGTGGTCTGAGAAGGTGCCTAGCAATATGTCAATCTTTTATTTATTTATTTATTTTGAGTTGGAGTCTCACTCTGTCGCCCAGACTGGAGTGCAGTGGCTACTCCCAGCCACCGCAGCCTTGACCTGCTGGGCTCTGGCGATCCTTCTGCCTCAGCCTTCCAAGTAGCTGGAATTACAGGCATGCACTACCACGCCCAGCTGATTTTTTTATTTACTGTAGAGATGAGGTCTCGCTGCCCAGGTGGGTCACGAACCCACGGGCTCAGGCAATCTACTCACCTCAGCCTCCCAAAGGCCTGGGATTACAGGCTGAGCCACCGAGCCCGGCTAATATGTCAATCTTATGGAATTGGCTTATGCTTAATTTATGGCTGAGGATGTGATTGATCTTGGAGTACGTTCCACGTGGTGGTGAATAGAATGTAAATTCTGTGGTTGTTGGGTGGAATATTCTGTAGGTATCCATTGAGTCTATTTGGTTGAGTATCAAGTTGAGGTTCCAGATCTCCTGGTTGATTTTTTGTCTTGATGATCTTTCTAGGGCTGTTAGTTGGTATTTAAGTCCCCAGCTATAATAGTGTTAGAGTCAGTATTAATAGTGTTAGAGTCAGTATTAATTCCATGTTTACTTAGTAGTTGTTTTATAAATGCTGGTGCTCCTGTGTTGGTTGCATATATGTTTAGGATGGATTTTTCTTGTTGATGGATTGAACCTTTTATCATTATGTAGTGTCCTTTCATATCTTTTTAAATTTTTGATACCTTAAAGGTTGTTTTGTCTGATATTAAGATCGCAGCTCCTGCCTTCTTTTGTGATCCATTTGCCTGGAAACTTGTCTTCCGTCCTTTAACTTTGAGTCTGTGTGCATCCCTTGTGGTGAGATGAGTTTCCTGGATGCAGCAAATAATTAGGTCATGGTTTCTTATCCAGTTTGCCATTCTGTGTCTTTTCAGTGTGCATTCAGTTTGTTCATATTCAGGGTGATTGTTGAAATATGATTGTTTATCCCCATCATGAGATTCTTATAAAACCATTGTTTGTTTGCTTGTTTTCTTTCAGTTTTGGTATTGATGTGTATGTGTGTGTGTTTTCAAGTCTTCTGTTGTGATGTAATCTCTGTTGATTCTGTACTCTGCTGGTCTCTTGGGAAGTGTGTGGTCATTCTTTTTTTTTTTTTTTCCTGTCTTTTGTGCTTAATACCTTTTTAAGGATCTCCTGTAGGGCTGGTCTGGATGCTGCATAATCTCTTAGGGATTGGCTGTCTGGGAAGGATTTTATTTTTCTATCACTGATGAAGCTGAGCTTGTCTGGGTAGGAAATTCTTGGTTGAAATTGTTTGTCTTTGAGGACTTTGAATGTTGGACTTCAGTCCCTTCTTGCTTGTAGTGTTTCTGCTGATAGGTCTGCTGCTATTCTGATTGGCTTTCCCGATAGATAGTCTGACCTTTCTCTCCTGTTGCTTTTAGAATTTTTTCTTTTGTGCCTATTTTGTAGGGGAATTTCTATGTGTTTAGGGGTTGGTCTTCTCATTTGACGTCTTGTGGGAGTTCTCTGTATCTCTTGAGATGGGGAAAGTTTTCTTGGATAACCTCCTGGAATACTTGCTCCAAGTTGTTTTCCATTTCCCTTTCTTCTTCTGGGATGCCAATCAGGCATAGTTTTGACCTCTTGATATAATCGCATATCTCTTGTAGGCTTTGTTCTTTCTTTGAGTTTTCTTTTTATGTTTTTTACAGATTGGGTTAATTCCATGTTCTGGTCTTCAAGTTCTGAGATTCTTTCTTTTGCTAGATTAATTCTGCTTCCATGTTTGTCATCTTGTTATTTATTTCCTGGATGACATTTTTATGACCAAAATCTCTAAGTTATTTAAGTTTTACATCTTGTCTTTCTTGAGTCTTATTCACTCTTTTCATCCATTCCCTAATTCCAGTCACATTCTGGGACCAGTCCTTAGTGACTTGCATTGTTTGTGCTCTGAGGTCTGATTTTTCAGGCTTTTTGTCTTTGTCACTCTGGAAATTACCTGTGGTCTTCTGTTGGCTTTTTCTCATTTGTGACAGATCTCTCTCTTTTCTCTTTAGTTGCATTATTCAGTGGCAGTGGGAGAGGCTTTCACTTCTGATGTTTGCTCAGCCCTCTATTCTTCCCTGATCTGGGCTCTGGATTTGTTCTGTTTTGAAATAGGACTGTGGGTGGGAAGCTTTGCTGTCTCTTATAGTTTTGAGAGTCAAATAAGGTACAGGATGGGAAGGTTGAATTCAGAAATTACCTACATATTACAATGTTCCCTGATTGTGTTATGGGTTCCCTGAGATCAACTCCCCACCACCACTCTATATGATGATGCAGTGGGTTTGTATGTATTCCCCCTGAGTCCAAGATAATAGCAGCAATGAGAAGTACAGAGAAAAATAGAATGAAATAAGATGGACAAAAATTTTTTAAAAATAAAAAAATGAAAAAGAAACACAGAACAATGAAAGCAGAAACCAAACCAAAAAACAATTGAACACACACACACACACACACACACACACACACACACACACAGACACACACACACACAGACACACACACCCCAAAACAAACTTGAATAACAACAAAGCAAAACAAAACAACAATGACAAAAAAAGCCAGGAAAACCAAACACATGCACACACCAAGCACAAAATGAATGGAGAAGAAAAAGAGAAAGAACAGAAAAAAAAACAAAGAAAAAAATAGGAATTCAGATTGAACCTTCACACATATATCATACACACATTAAAATAAAAAGAAGTGAAGAACAAAAGAGCAAAACCAAACTAACAGCAATAACAACAAAAACTGAAAGATGAGCACTCAATCATTCGCATACACATAGTGGCAGTTTCCATAATTGTTCCTCTCAACTGCCCCTCTGCTGTCTCCTGCAGAGTTTGACCTTACTCACTTTTTCTCCAGTGTCCAGACCAGGGAGGGAGGAGTAGACAGTGGGGGGCGGGGGGCTGCAGTCTTCTCTTCCCACTCTAGTATTGTCAGGGGGATCCCCTCTGGTGAGGAGGTATGGGATTGTCTCTTCCCCAGGTACTGGCAGGGAGTGTTTCAGCCAGGCTGTCTTGGAGTGGTGTCTTCCTATTGTGGCTGATGTGTAGGCTTCGCCTGGGTTTGTCCCTCTCAGTTGTCCTCCAGCCGTGTGGGTCTGACATTCAGAGGATTGCTGGGAGGAAAGAGTTGGGTCAGCCCGGGACTCACCACTGATCTCTTTGGAGGTCTTTCTCATCCTTTTCTGGTCACACCTTTGTCTTGCAGCTGAATCAGGCTGGGAGTGGGGTGCCTGAGCCTAGCACTCGCCCTGTCCCTTCAAAGTTTGTGGTTTCAGGATATTCCCTCTGGGTCACGATCAACCTCCGAGTAGTTGATCCACTGGTCACAGAGATCGGGTCTGTTTCTCCATGGTAAGCAAGTCAGAGCACTTTCCTGTCCCATTTTCAAGATGATGGCAGGGTACCTCTTTTGTCTTTTCCAGTGGGACTCTAACTCTGGGTTCCCTCTGCAGCCCTTGCTGCCGGTGTCCAGCCAGACACTGCAGTGGTGAGGCAGAGCCTGGAGCCAGCAGTTTCTCCCACTGGGGTTGTGAGGCAGAGCCTGGAGCCAGCAGTCTCTTCCCAAAGTTTCTTCCCAGGAAGACTTTTGTCTGTTAAAAAAAATTGATGCTCAGTTTCTGCATCCTGGGAAGTGCTAGAGTCCAAGCCGAGCAGCTGTGGCACAAGCCACTTCACCAGGAGAGCTCTGTCCACTTGCTCATATGCCCCCACTTAGTCAGTCTTTCCCAGCAGCTTGTTCTCGGGAAGGGTTTTGTTAATTACAAAGAAGGAAAATATGGCACTCGGCTTCTGTGACCTGGGGAGCACTAGGGTCCAAGCCAAGCAGCTGTAGCACCAGCCACGTCACCAGGAGCACCCTGGCTGCTAGCTCCTGAGTCCTCACTCAGTCAGCCTCTCACACTCCCACTTACTCACCGACACATACACAGAATTTTCCATACCCTCACTCACTCATGCCGGGACTTGCATGGCCTGACTGGCTGTTACCATTTTCCTCCCTCAGTTCTTTTCTTTAATTGTGATTGTTTACCACTCGGAGACCCTGTCCTATCCCATAATCTCTCACTGCATGTTTTTTTCAAATTTAAATTTTCTTGATTATTTTTCTTAATTCACAATTCTAAAACTAGACCTGTTGAGAGTACTCTGTACTGCTCTCTCTTAGGCCCTGGGTTGAGCCATGGATTGGTAGCCTTGTGGTCAGGCTGTCTCCCCTTTTTATAATAGATGTGGCAGAGTAGTGAGGTCTAATAGAGCAGAGCATGAGCACCATGCATAAGATTATGAGGTAAGAAAGAGCTCTCAAATCTGCCTGCCTTGATTAGGGTTATCTCGAGAACTAGGTGAGACTGCTGAGGGATGCAAATTCTAGGAGAAGCAAGGGCTGGCAAGCATAGTGTCTCACATTTCTTTTACATTTTCACAACACCTTGTGGTACTTGGTATCTTGATTTATGTATGAACTAATTATATTTAGATTCTTGGGAAATGAATGGCCACTGAACCTGCAGGTGATTAGTGGTGTCCCATGGATTCAAACATTCTTCACTATACTTTTACCCACAGATAAGAAAAAAGAGTACTGTTTGATTTGTTTTGCTTAGGGTTGTAGGGCTTTAATACATGTTTCTCATTGAGTAGTAGGAAATAGCAGACATTCTTAGAATTTCTACTCATTGCCATTCAGGAAATGGTGCACACAGTCCCTGTGGCTCTTTTCTGAATACTGATCGGAGGTGTGTCATTGCAGGCTGGGAGTCCTCCATCAGCATCAGCTCCGGCTCCGGTGTCCGCCTTCTCTCGTACTTCTGTTACACCATCTAATCAGGACATCTGCAGGTAAACTGCTTCAGATACTACGATGACCAATGTGCAGCCCAGAAATAAGCATTAATGTGCCTTTGGTCTAAACAATTAGTTGGCCCAGTTTTATGTGCTGTTTGCTCACCAAGTTACCCATGCAGGTCTCATTTCTTCACTTTGATGTCTGTTCTCCTTTAAAATTGTTTTTACTTTCTGTGCTTTTATCCCACTGTTCTGCATGCAGTTCCAGTGCAGTGTTTTCAGAGTGTTATCACCACAGTCCTGTGCAGTCTGCTGTTGTCTTGAAAGCTTCTCAATGCCAGAGTTCTCTGACACAAGGGCTCACTGTGACAGTTATCTGTAAAGACACATTGCAGGCGTCAAAGAGAAATTCCTTTGGTTCAGAATGGGTCCAGGCCTTGAAGCCTGCTAAGAATGCCAAAGCCAGAAGAACACTAAAGTTCTCAAAGTCCCTAAACGATGTGGGTGAGAAGACCCAGGATACTGTGGAAAGTTTTGACTATGTGGAAAGAACTTGTTCTGAAGGAAAATTAATACTCCCTCAAGATCCATGTTTCAGAATTAACAGGTTCCATCATAAGGAAAAGAGAACACTGAACCACAAACTTCTTGGCAATTCCAAACATTCTTGTGGTTCATCCCTTTCTGCCAATTGTTCAGCTGCCTCAGAGGTGGAAACTGGCAAGAGAGACATGCACGTCTCGCTGTTGGAAGAGAAAGCAGATGGTGAGGCCATATCCAGAAGCCGTCGACTGCTCCGGTACCTGTTCTCACTCTCACATGGCTCAAGTACCAGCAGCCTGCACAGGTTTCATGAACTAGAGAGCTGTGCCGTTCACCTGAACGCTGCCAAGTCCTCCAGTGGGCTGGCAGGGAGCACAGGCTTCTGCTCTGACGAAATGGGAGATGACGACGTCTTTGAGGACAGCCCATCTACAAAACTGAAGAGCAGAGTCCTGCGGGCACCCCTCTGCTCCACGGAAAAAGACAGTGATCTGGATTGTCCTTCTCCCCTCTCTGAAAAATGTCCCCCCATATCTCCTGTGTCCACATCAGGGGATGCCTGCAGGTTGGTTTGCCAGGAAGTGCCATTCTAGCCGTCTCTGCTCATACCCCATACCCTCACCTTGCTTTAATATGTGAAGTTTCAGGAAAATGAAGTAATAGACAGTTGTAGCCAATTGTGGGTTAGTCATTTTCTCCAGGAGGATGGAGTGTTGATATCATTAAAAACTATTTTTTATGATGTGGGTCCCAAGATAGTTTCACAAATGCTAAAAGAGGAAGAAGCTACACATATTAAAGGCCGAGCTGACTCTTCTCAACTGAAAATAAGTAGACTTGGCATAAAGAAATTGGAAGAAGAAAAATAGTTTCTCCAGCTTTCCAGCTTGATAGTCCCAGATTTTAAGCATTTGCTACCCCTTCAACCTCTTTCTTAGTCCTTGCTTACCCCAATGTGTATGGGGAGTGGCTATTCTCCTCTAGTTCCTTCCTTTTCATTTGGGTGCTGATACCCATGCCCAGGTATTGACTTACTTCCCACCTTTATTGTCCCTTGTGCAGTACCCTTTTGTCACCACTCTTGTGACCTTTCCCCAGTCTCCCCTCCTCAGTTCCAGCTGTCATCATTTCCAATAGTTGGTTCAGAAACCCCTCTCACTAAATCAGATAGCCTGAGAGCCTACCTGAGGCCAAAGCTCAGCTCCTTTCAGGCCAGGTATCCCTGCCTGTTCTCCAGCTACTGGGAAAGACCCCTCTGTTTCTCAAAAGCTTATTAAGTTCCTTTCGGGTAGTAACTATATCTTGATACATATTTCTTTGGCAATAATGAATGCTTTTGAATTAATTCTCACTGCTATAGGTGGACCTAAAAAAAATAATGAAATTGCAGCACCTTATAATGGTGAGGCTTTTTTTTTTGGGTTTTTTTTTTTGAGTTGGAATCTCACTCTGTCGCCCAGACTGGAGTGCAGTGGCCGCTCCTGGCCACCGCAGCCTCGACCTGCTGGGCTCCGGTGATCCTTCCGCCTCAGCCTTCCAAGTAGCCGGAATTACAGGCATGCGCTACCACACCTTGCTGATTTTTTGATTGTAGAGATGAGGTCTCGTTGCCCAGGTTTTTTAGGTCCTGGCGATGTACTATACTCTTTGTTTACTTCCTAAGAGAGGATGGAAATGTGTGGTTGTCTGAAGGTGAGGTCAGCGATTATAGCTAAAAAGCAGATGTCATCTTTTAAAGTCATTGTGGTATTTTTGGAAAGTGGAAAACTGGTTTTGTTTTGCTTAGAAAATTTTCTCTATTTTACCCTCTTATGTTGTGGGAAATGATTCTCTATTGCTTCAAATTATTCTTTCAGTGAATCAGTGAACTTCTTAAGTCTTACCAAAAAACAAAAACAAAAAAAAACTACTGCTTTGTGCTTTGTCATTTCTTACATCATTTTTTCCTCTCTGTTGCCAAATGCCATCCAGACTTTCCATGTTGGTGCGGTAAGCTAGAAATTTTTAGTTTGCAGTAATTGTTTTCATTTGCGTTCGTATGTTTTTGTGTTTGTAGTCACTTATGTGATGTTTGTTTCTGAAAGTTTTCTTTGGGGGGGATTTACCTTCACCAAAGTGTCACCTTCCTTATTGGGTGGGCTCCTCACAACAACTGGTTTTCCTTCTACTGTAGGATCTGCCATTGTGAAGGAGATGACGAGAACCCCCTGATCACCCCCTGCCACTGCACAGGAAGCCTCCACTTTGTGCACCAGGCGTGTCTGCAGCAGTGGATCAAGAGCTCCGATACACGCTGCTGTGAGCTCTGCAAGTACGAGTTCATCATGGAGACCAAGCTGAAGCCTCTGAGAAAAGTATGTGTGAAGAAAGGGTGCTCCCAGAAAGTGCTTTACTCTTTCTGGAGAGTGATCACCAGAAAATTAGCATCTCAGACTGTGGAGCCATAACTTGCCTGTGTTCATTTATTTAAAAAGCCAGAACAGGTACTTACATTCACCATTGTAGAGATTATTGTTTCTGGTACTGATTTTCAAGTCTCTCCCCTCAGGAAGAACCTCTTTCTGGCCATTCATTTTTTTTTTTTTTCCTCCCTTCAAACTAAGAATACGTGTTTCTCTGTGTCTGTCATCTGGCCCTTGACTACAGAATGTTTTGTGACATATCTTTATCAGTATTTAACTTTATATATATTAACTGTTCATGTCTTACCTCTGATTAGGACTATATATTAGAGATTAGTATCTCTCCATGGTACTCAGCACAGTGTGGCACAGTGTGGCACACAGTAAAGTTATTTATACACCTGTGATAAGTATTTTCTGGATGAGAGAGTGGGTAGGTGGATAGGGGAGGGAAAAGAACCAACACATTATGTGACATGTGACTGGTCTTCGGGTCCCATGTCATTGTTCCCTCTTAGAGGAACTTTGTCTGAGGCACTGGCCTCCCATTTAAATGTTGACTGTTTCAAACATTTCTCCAGATGTTCAGCAAAGAAGGTTTTGTTTGAAAGAATAAAAGACTGTTCCTATCTCAAAATGGTAATATATAAATTGCAAAGGGAATCACATAATCAAATAATAGCACACGTTGATGCCAATTAAATGCTGAATTATGTGATAGTAGAACATATTAGAGAAGGAGATGCTCATTATGGGCTAGAGTGCTGGGAAGTGGAGTGGTGGTAGCATCATAGAATGTTGAGTTTCAGAGCAGTTCTTGGAAGATCACTAGGATTTGGAGACATAGTAAAAGGAGTCTAGAGAGGCCAAACTGTCTGTGGAGAAAAGCATACACCAAAAATATGAGGGTGAGAATTTATGGGAGTATGCAAAGGTCAAGCTACATGTGTTGTAGGAAATAGCAGGAATCGGGGAGCAGGGAACACCAAGACACTGCCTTTCTTTTAGATAAGAAGCCCAGAGAACTTGCTAGTATATAAAACCCTAGCAAAAAGCAATTAGATATGAGAGAAGAATGGGTAAACTACATGAAAACGTTGCCCCAGTAAAAGCCTTACATATATTGGGTGCCTTCTCTACGCTAATCTCTCAAGTGAGTCTTATGACACCTTGACAATATAGGTAGTCCATGAGACTCTATTTTCACCTTACCCTACATAGACTCATTTGGAAAGAGACTGTGACTAGAGTTGGCAAAGGATATACAGAGTGTTTACACTTTGTTCTTTCTCTCTACCTTTATGTGTTTTCTTCTGATTCGGAAACCAGTAAATGAAAAAGAGAATCTGGCTATTTGGAGTAAATTAATGAGCTCCTAGAGGAGATGGGACTGGCAGAGTCTGCTTGTACCAGGAACTCTTAGCATCGATTTCGAGCTGTTGCTGCCAAAGTAGCAGAGGACCAAAGAGTGAGCGCCTTCTGCCATTCACCTTCACAATGTAGTGTGACCCATCTGCTGGTGTGTTGTGGCATCATCAACCCTCTTCTGCTTGTCCATGCCAGTTAGCAAGTCAGGGAGGCTAAAAATGTAGCACCTGGGCCTTGGGCCAACATACTGTTTTCATTAGGACTGAAATTATAGAATCTTCTATCAGACCATTTAATGTCTGCTTGCAAGAATAAGCACACAAGGGGATTGCTGATGGTAGTTCAGCACTCATCTCAATCCCAGCTTCTTTTCATTGCATAGAAAGTTGACTGTGCCTGTACCTGGCTAAAGCCAAGTGATTTAAAGAGAACAACATTGGGAAAGTTCATCTAGTTTGAGAAAATGGGAGGGGGAAGGAAAGCCAACCTTACCCATCTACAGTGCTCTCACCCCATTATAGCCTTTCACTATGATCCTAAGTCTCACCCTCTGCATGTTGTCTTTCCAGTGGGAGAAGTTGCAGATGACAGCCAGTGAGCGCAGGAAGATCATGTGCTCAGTGACGTTCCATGTCATCGCTATCACCTGTGTGGTCTGGTCCTTGTATGTGCTCATTGACCGCACTGCTGAGGAGATCAAGCAGGGGCAGGCAACAGGTAAGTGCTCATGCCAAAAAGTGAGCTCAGCACCAGAGGTCCTGGATAACACACTGGAGTCTCAGGATTAGAGCATTGTTCCAGTCAGACTGCAAAAGTATGGGTTTCTGGAGGGGGACATTATAATTAGGAGGCACCAAACATCCTTTTTGTATGTTTCTCATACTGTGTTAGTTTTTGAAACCCAGTCAGAAGTGATCAAATTGTGGAACATGAGAGTCTCCACAAACTACCTCTTAAAAAAGCAGGATAAAAGGCAGTTGGACACTATCTTCTATCCCTCCTTGATGAAACATGATTTGATGAGTTAGGAATCCATTGGTCAGTGGCATGTACCTGTAGTCCTAGTGACTTGTGATGCTGAGGCAGGAGGATCACTGGAGCCTGGGAGTCCAAAACTGCAGTGCTCTGTGATCACACTTGTGAACAGCCACTGCATGCCAGCCTGGGCAACATAAGGGCTCATCCCCAAAACAAAGCAAAGCAAAACAACAACAACAAAATTCACTGGCTATGGGAAGTTCAGAAATTGTGTTTTATTTACTTCAGATCTTAAATAAGATCTAATAGGCTGAGTTTTTCCCTTCCAGGAATCCTGGAGTGGCCCTTTTGGACTAAATTGGTGGTTGTGGCCATCGGCTTCACCGGAGGACTTCTTTTTATGTATGTTCAGTGCAAAGTGTACGTGCAGCTATGGAAGAGACTCAAGGCTTATAATAGAGTGATCTATATTCAAAACTGTCCAGAAACAAGCAAAAAGAATATTTTTGAAAAATCTGCACTAACAGAGCCCAACTTTGAAAATAAAGATGGACGTGGAATCTGTCATTCTGACACAAACTCTTCTTGTTGCACAGAGCCTGAAGACACTGGAGCAGAAATCATTCACATCTGATTGTGTGGGGGTATAGTTTTCTTGGACGTCCATGAAGAGCTGAAGGAAATTGTTTACTGCCAATTGTGTACCTTTAATATGTCCTTTAATAGCATAGACTGGGCAGGTGACTATTTTTAGTAGCTTCTCTTTTTCTGAACCCTCCTTAATGAGTGTCCTGGAAAGCCCTCCTATGGGCCAGGCATGGCTGGGTCCTGTCTCTGCCAGGCTACTCGGTGGGAAGGAAAGGTGGAAGACCCCATGATGCCATGTAGGTGAGCTGACTGAGTTCCCACCCATGGTACTGAGCAGAATGAGAGAATAAAATGCCAAAACTGAGGGAAGAGCAGGAGCAGGGGCTCCCTGATATGCAGTCTCTTCCGTTTTTTAGCAGTCTCGCCCTGGAGCAGAAAGTTGGGGAATGTCTAGCCATGATGAGAGGATTCCTTTTGCACCCAGGAGAGCCTGGGGAGACAAGATTGAAACAGCTCCTCCACACATAATCTCCTGCCCACCTCTGCTGATGCAGTCCCCTCAGTGCTCTTGAGCAGGTGGGGCTATGGTGCTCTGTGTGGTGGCATGTGACTCACTGAGCAAACAGCACTTTACAGAAGAGAGTCTTTATTTTGTGATATGTGTTTCCAGTGGGATTGACACTTAAAAGTGCATTTCATTTAAAAATCTTCCGTTTGTTACCCTTGTTATCTCTTTTACATCATAATCTAAAATCCTTTTTGCCTTATATATGCTAAGAAGCATAACATCCACTCTGTGTCCATAAGACAGACTTGTGAGTTTCAAACAGGACAAACAGGTTTGAGCCTTTTTCATAAGAGATTTCATGGGAATTAATGGATGTTAATGGCAATTATAGCACAATTCCTGTGCTTATGAGCCTGTTTTTTGACAAGTCCTTATTTCATAGGCCTGCCTCATATGTTTTTTTGTCAACGCTGAAAAAAGGGTTTTTGAGATCTAAAATGGAAGGAAAAGAATTGAGGAATTATAAAACTGAATATTTTAAAAATATTCCTTTACAGACATATCTGCAGCTGGTGCTGGCTTCACACTGGAAGAGCAGCCATGTGCTGTCCTGGCCAGGACATGTGTGCTGCAGGTTCTCCTGGTTGCTGGCCCATCATGTGGCTTCTGCTTGGGATGGTTCTGTGGAGTCACTGCTGAGGGCCGAAAGACAGGCGGGCTGGCTCTGAGATGAGGGCCAGGCATGAACAGCAAACTGCTGGAATCTGCTGTGTCACTGTTTCTCAGCCACACACCCGCCCATCTGTCGCCTTAACTAGACTGAGCAGACAGGATCCTTAGGGGCTGTGGGCCCCACTCTCAGTCCATTCTGTCATCAGGGATTACCTCCTGTACCATTTTCATAAAACGAACAAAACCAAAATCACTACCATCAAATGGCCTTGTCCCTTTAAAAAATCTGCTTAAAACCTAGTTTTAAAACCTAGTTTTATGCTGCCAGGCAAATAAAGAGTCAACTCCAAGAAAGAAGGCCAGCAGGTCCTGCAACACAATGTGAGTAGGCCCACATGCTTCCTCTCCAGGCCAGTCTCTCTCATCAAGCAGGCAGGGAGAAGGTGGTGAGATACCTGGGAGTTCTGTCCTCATTCTCTTTGAGCCTTAGGTGCTTCATCTGTCCTGTTAAGAGGATGAAGCAAACACAAGATGATTTCTTTGCCTTTCAGAATGAAAGCCTTGTGGTTTGTTTTGAAGGCTGGAGGAAGCTGAAGGGTCTCCAAGCTCTGGGTGTGGGTTCATGATAACAGGCTTTGTTTTGCTATCTCCTCCCACTCAGCATCTGACTCATTGGGATTATAGGTCCTGGTCTGTGGAGCTTCTCTGCTGTGGCTTTCCTCTGGCAAGGCAGGCACTGTCCAGCCATAGTTGACTCTTGAAAATAGGTCAGCCTGGCCTCTCTCCATTTCCCAGGCCATATCTAGCCTATGCCTGTGTTCACTGTGCCCCAAAGTGCAATTACCCATGTCCCTTCTCAGCCTGGGGACACTAGGCAGCTGCAGACCATCCACTCAGGGGAGCTGAATCCCAGGTCAGTCCTGCCAGTGTTGCTCATACACTGCCCAGACAAGGCCCCTGGTTTTGTACATTTGTCCTTCAACAGTGGAGGAGTGGTTACAGTAAAGACTGGGATTGTAAGTGTGAATCCCCCTATCAACCATAGAACACTTTACGCTGAACTTGAAAAGCTCTGAGACTTCCTGGAGAGAAGAAAGTGTGCTTTAGTAGGGATAACCCTTGGGCGACTCACCTAGTATGGCTGGCACCCTCTTATGGCAAAGGTGCCTTTATAACTAAGACTTGAATTGCTCGCATGCCCAATCAGATTCTCATGTGGAGCTCTCTCTTCTTTTCAGGAAGGCCTAACACTATCTCATCCCCTCTGGCCACCCTGTGGACAGTCCATCCACACCCTTCTTCTCCTCTTGGTGGGGCACACAGCCACACTTTTGCCTTTTCCTTTCTTGCAGGTTCTAGTTCAACATCTGATTAATCAGTCCCTTCTACCCCTCAGTGACTAGCAATGAAGCGTGAAGTGTGGCGGAGGGACTAAGGAGGATGCCATCTAGTAGAGGTACCTGCTCTGCCTCTGGTCCTTTAGTCTGTGTAAACTTGCTCTCTAGTTCTTTTGAAGGGCTGTTTATTCTCCAGTTTCCTCCCACTTTTCCCCTGGCTTTAGTGAGAGGGTGGCATTTGTCTGAATCATATAGAAACCCTGGTTGGGTGAGGTCTCTGGGCCAGGAGGACTGGTACATGTGGGCTAGGAAAGGGGAAGAGGCAAGCAGTCTCAGGTGTCACCAGTCAGCCCTCTCTCATTTGGCTTTTATCTCCTGTAATTCACAGTACCACTAACAGGCTTCTGACTTCAACAGTAACTGTTTGTTGTTGTTGAGTCGTAGGCTCATTCTATCACCCAGGCTGGAGTGCAGTGGCACAGTCATGGCGTATTGCAGCCTTGAGCTCCTGGGCTCAGGCAGTTCCTCCTCCTTCAGTCTCCCAAGTAACTGGGACTACAGGCACGCTAATTTATTTTTATTTTAATTTTGTAGGGACAAGGTCTCACTATGTTGCCCAGGCAGGTCTTAAACGCCTGGACTCAAATGATCCCCCTGCCTTGGCCTCCCAAAGTGCTGGAATTACAGGCATGAGCAATTGTGCCCAGATAGTAATTTGTTTTTTGTGCCCAAGTTTATTGTGAGAATTTCCTAGAAACCCCATAAAAGGTCTCTTTCTACTCTAGATCTGTAATGGCTTCCACTTTTTTGCTTCAGTCCACTCTTTTCAATCATGTAGGCCTAGTTTTCAAACCTGTATGTGTATCCTGCCTGGTCACAGTTATGCAGGCTTTAGGCAGCTAGGCCAGTTTGGGAGCCTTGGGTGATGCCTACAGAGCTGGAGGAGGACTGGGGCCAGCAGTGTGAGATCCACGATGCTGTGGATGTGATATGGGTGTATGCAAATACACATTTGAAGTACTTTCCCTTTTGAATCTGGTTTGAAATATGCAGCTTCTAGCTCTAGCCCAAGGAAAGACTGAAACATAGGGAAATAAAAGCATTTGTCTTTGTCTTGAAAGCAATTGTTCAAGTTGTGCAGCTGATCATTGCACGTTTAGACGCAATGTTTATAGAAAGTTGATTGTTAATAAAAGCCAAATTTACACTGGCATGTGTGGCGTAGTTTCTAAAAGACACTTCACATTTGAAAATTTTCTTACCTTAGAAAGTTTCTAGTTATCTAAATGTCTAGTTTTGTATTCCTTTGTGTATGTTCACTGTTCTTCAGTATTACCACTTGAATAATTCTCTGTGTGGGGGGTTGTTTGTGTGATACACTGGGATGTTTAATTGCAGCAATAAAGCCTTTCTTTTAAAAGGAATTTTGCCATGAGAGTGATTTCCTGCAGAGAGGCTGGGGACATTGATAGGTACTCCAGTGGCCCTGATCCCCTTTCCAGGTTGGTCTGGCTTACACATCAGGAAAGAATATCATGTGGCCCCTGGAGGTGTCTGTTTTCTTTCCTGGGTCTGTCCCTTGGATATGTGTGTTGGGAGCAGGATTGTCTGTGGGTGTGCCGGATGGAGGTAGAAATAGACATTTCACACTGGCATACTTTCTTCAAACTTCCAGACCCTACTTGTGCTCACCCTGAGGGAAGCAAGACTCAAGGGTATTTAGCCACATGACCATGCAGCAATTGATTGTGGACCAGCCTTACCTATGGAAACACATTTTCTGACCCACAGCCCGGCTGAGTAAAATAACCAGGGAGACCAGCAGGGTTGCTGGCAATGGCTCTGCCAGGCTGTATCTCCTGGCTTCTGGCAGGGCTTTCTTGAGGGATAGCAGTACCATGATCCTCAGACTGCAAGTGGCCCACAAGGCTGGGAGTGCTGAGGGTGGACCAGAGTCAGGGGTTGCATGAAGTGAAGGGAGGGAGATCAGATTTGCCTGAACATACTGCAGCATTATAGGTGAGTGGGAGAATTCCCCTTTGCTAGGCTGCCTAGCAAACTTGGGAGCTAAGCACAAGGATGCTTTGCAGAGCTGTGGCCACAGCTACATGTCTGCAGGAGAGGAAGCCTCTGATTCCAGGAGGAGGATGGGCCTGCAGAGCCACCAAACCTGCTTAGCTAGGTCCCTGCTTGTGGCAGGGAGGAAGCTCAGACACCCCCTGAATTGAGTGCTGAGTAGGGTGGAGCTGAAAGAGAAACCCACTCCTGTAAGAAGGTAAGCCGGCTCGGTGGCTCAGCCTGTAATCCCGCGCCTTTGGGAGGCTGAGGTGAGTGGATTGCCTGAGCTTAAGGGTTTGAGACCCGCCTGGGCAATTTGGCGAGACCTCATCTCTACAATAAATCAAAAAATGAGCCAGGCATGGTAGCGCGCACCTGTAGTTCCAGCTACTTGGAAGGCTGAGGTGGAAGGATCGCTGGAGCCCAGCAGGTTGAGGCTGCGGTGGCCGGGAGCGGCCACTGCACTCCAGTCTGGATGACAGAGTGAGACTCCAACTCAAAAAAAAAAAAAAAAGAAGGTAAGGAGCCCCTGTGCTTTTTGATAATGTTAGGAGTTTGACGGAAGGGACACCTGATGGGGGTCTTGGTGCAGGCAGGCTTGAGGCGATCACACCAGCCAGTGATGGCTTGCCTCTGGAGGCTCTTTTTTTAGGTAGACTGCTCAGAAGCAGCCTCCTGTTTTTGTAAATGAACTTTATTGGCAAACAACCATGACCATTCACTTACACATTGTCTACAACTGATTTCCTGCTATAGTAGCAACCGTTGAATAGGACAGATTGTATGGCTTACAGAGCCTGAAATATTT